AACAAGGGAAAAACACTAGTCTGCCTCGCTGGAACTCCAAATCTTGATGCAAAGGGCATCTGGCCAGTTTCCTCATTCATGCTTTTAAGCACTTAATTTGTGTGAGTAAACCCCACACTTCTTACAATTCAGTCTGCCTTTGACAGTTCTAACCTGATGAAGACCAATAGCTCAGAAGAGCATGATCATTTAAATCAGACTCAGCAATGGTTATTTATAAATACTGCCCATCTTTCCACCGTATACCACAGCATAACGCCAGTCACCTGAAGGCATACTTGTTTTGCTCCAACCATACAACCCATGTGTAACTACAGGACTGAAGATAAGCAGTAAGGAATACATTTCTTGAATAGGTGGAGACTTTCATCTGAGTACCTTAAGAGTTATCTGTTGCTTTCAAAACACAAATAAACAAAACCAAATAATAAATCAGAGGGGCTTAAGCAGGTCTCATTTTGAGAGGCAGCCTTCCTCACCTGGGAGAATTAAGGAAGTTACCTTATCTGACACTAATTATGGCACACAATGTGCTTTCTTCAAAAAGAAGCAGAATTTTTTTAAAAAAGTGGCAAAAGACCATCAACCAATTTGATAGCTTGTTCTTAAAGACTCAAGTGCCGAGAACTCGGGCTCAACAACCTGGCTGTTAACCCTTGAAATGAGCACTGACTGACCCCAGCCTGCATTAGCCTGACAATCGTATCTTAGTTTAGTGCAAGGAACGTGATAGAATCAGGCAATAAAAAACACTTAGTTCTTAATATTGATGGAGGCTCAATCTGACCGTTCGGCAAATACATGCTTGGTGTAGCAGTCTGCACAAAGGACTCCTCTCAACTAGCTAGTCAACCCGCTGAACTAGGAATGGATTTACTGCGTATGTGAACTGGCCTGTGGGCAAGCCACACAGTGCACACAGGGAGAGGCCCAACCCTGCACTGCTGTTCCCTGAGGCCGAGTTCAAACCATCAGGTCTCCCGTCCTCACCAGGCAACGGGGGAAACCCCTGGAGACTCCCACAGAAATCTAAACTCTGTATCCCCTCGAGATAAGAGGTCATAAATATGGAACAAAGAGCTGCTTAATCACACAGTACAGCTGACATTTTCAATACTGGTTGAGATACAGAAGGTTTCAGACTTATTCAAGAGCGAAAAACATTGTGAGAGCACAGCTCAACACCATTTACCAGTGAGGCCTGAATATTTAGGAAATGCCTGTTATAAAACCACCCAGAGACAGTCAACACACCCCACACACATGCACCGATTACATGACCCCCGACACTCATTTTAGATGTTTACCATTGTGTGTTGTTTAAAAACCACTTTACAAAAGCCAACCCAGAACAGAAGGTGATGGCTTTCTGAGATCTGTTTGCTTACTTGTGTTGTAAGACAAGTGACTCATGCGTGACTTCCTCTTAGTCCTCACTGGCAGAGGAGAGAGTGGTATCTCTGCACTGGGCAGCCCTGCATGCGAAAGTCCAGGAGGCCCCCACCAGGCAGAGCTACAATTTGGAGCTACCCTTGTGCAGGACATCAGACAATGGAGAGGCATGAAGACGACACCAGAGCAGCCCAGGGAACTTGAACCCGTGACAACCAGAATATCACAGAAGGGAACATGCTGTTCAGAGTCTGAAAGATTAAAAAAAACTGACAAGTGCTACCAGATGTTATTTGCTTTTAATGAATTAATTGCTGTTCTTGTAAAGCATCACAGCTCTCAGAAGTACTGGCCAGGCATTAGGATGCCAATACCACAAATGTAATTAAATTGTTTAAAATAAACATTTATTTGGGCTGATGCTCTTATCAGCAACAGCATTCATGTTATACAGCTTGGTATTGTACTGGAGCCATTTAAGTGAAGTACCTTGCTCAAAGGTACTGCAGTCTTTCACCTGGGATTTCAACCCATGATCTTGTCACAACCTGCCTGACAGAAAGACCATTATGCTGTGGTTTTCTGTGAACGGGCAAGCAGGTGCAGATTTTATTAGAACTGCTCACCTGTAGCTGGACAAGGAATGTAAATACTGCAGGTAATTAGAGTCACAAAGAAACAGGGAGGAAGGTGGGGGGGGGGGTCTTGACTAATGTCTTATGGTAGCACAACAGAGTCAAACAGAGCCCCAGCTGACACAAGGCCTTTCTTAAGAAGGGCTGAGAGCAGCAGTCTTCTTTAAATATTTAATAAACATCTTTGAGAAGCAGCATTTCATTACAGGGAAGCAGCAGCGAGGCTGGAGGCTTTCAGCAGCCCCCTGGGGATGACAACACCAGCCACAGACAGCAGCACACTGACCCCACTCTCACATGAACACCATGCACACAAAAGATGAGGGGATGGGGGAGGAAGCTGGCTTATAACATCACTCCGACACTCTGTAAAACACGACGAAATTAAACGCAGGATGGCTTACAGGCCACTCCCACGACCTGAACGAGCAACACGGGTTTCGATCGATTTATCCAGAATAAATTGCAGAAGGATATGACATTGGGGGGGGGGGTTTCATGTTACATATCTCAAATATTTTAATTGTCAGATGTCCAGCCCTTCTGTGAGAGAGAGAGAGAAGCCAGCCAGGAGCCAGGTGGAGAGTGTGAGGGAGGAGAAGGGGCTGGGAGACTCCAAAAGACAGACGCACCACATGAAACACGTGGGCACAACCAGGCACTTCTGTAGCTCAAACATGCAGACTGGAGCCGCTGAGGCAGCTGCACATTTGGTGCACAGAGAACACAAGTGCGACAGCAGAACCGCAGCAACCGGAGAGAGTCGGACCCGGCCCCAGCCAGCGGGGAGCCCCTTGGACCAGTTTTAGTCAGGCCCAGATGTAGCCAACCACCGGGTTTGCGTCTGTACCTCAGAACAACCTTTAGAGGACAGTCAGGATCACAACAGTAACACCAATACCAAGCCAGCTAAGAGCAAGCATGGGCATCAAGGGCCTCCACACTGGAGTAACAACAGAAGTAGCCCCCTCCACCGGACATCACACAACAGCAACCTACCCCAGCCCTGCCTCTTTACAACACCAGACAGAAAGAGGGCCCACTGGACTTCCGAAGTGGAGTGTAAATTAAAGATTTGATTAAAAAAAGATGTCCATTTAGCAATGTTAAAAAAAATCATACAATTTCACCTGCGAAAAACACATTTAAAAGGAGAGAGTGGGGGAGCACAGCCAGTCTCAATGAGGCGCCCTGCCGGAGAGCTGCGGACAGGTGACAGGTCAGAGACACTCCGCATGTACACCGCAAAACGCCACTTGGCCGGGCTTGACCACGGCGACGACCGACCAACCCGGCCAGCCAGCCAGCGAGGGGTGTGGGGTGGGGCTGCATGCTGATTCACGGCAAGTGACCTTCTGGGGGGGGCGCCGGTAACAACCACCCTCCACGTCCCGAACCGCAACGCCGACAGCTGCATGCAAATATCCGGAGAGCCCCCCACGCCACTCGCGGAGTGGGCTGGCCGCCCCAGCTGAGAGCCGCGTGAACAATGAAAGCGAAACCTTCAGAGATCTGCCCCCTCCGTCATCAAGGACGCACAGATAACTCCCCCTTTTAAAAAACAATTAAATAAAACAACACCTTCGTCCACTCAGCAGGGCCGTGGCAGCCCGTGAATCTGCACGAGCGGGCCCCAGGCCGGGACACCGCTGACCGTGGCGTGGATTCCCGCACAAGGGCAAGTGACCTAGAGCCGGGGCAGGAGACGACGCCCGGCGGTCATCATCATCATCAATTCCTGTTATTGTGATTACTGTGCTGACGATTAGTGCGCGGAGATCCAGACCCAGCCAGCCCAGGCTCTGCGCCTCAGTTTCAAGTTACACACCGCTCCTTGTTCTGCAAATGACTTACGAAACCCAAAGAAAAAGGCCGGACTCGCGTCAGCAGGCGAGATGCTGGTCCTGCCTGCTCGCAGCGGAGTTTCAACGTGGTGATGACGCATTTCAGTGACAGCTGTTTCACGACCTACCCTCCCTCCCCCCCCGACAGCAGAGAGCCAATTTCGCGCACACAACTACAGCCATACATACACACGGCGTGTAAATATACATGCATGTGTGCAAGCCCGTTATAAGGCTCTTGCAATGCAATGCTCTTCCGAAAGAACCGATTTCTTTGCAAGCCAAGACTATATATATATACACACACACACACAACTCAGAAGATGTCGGCCGTCTCTCTCCCTCCCCAGACTCAAGTCCATGTATATGCACAGCTCAGGCTTCAAGCCTCGCACGGGTTTTTTTAAATCCCTTTAACCCAGCAAGCACATCGCGTCGCGTTTTTCCCAATTAAAAAAAAGCCTTTTAAACGGCTTTGTTCTCCCCTCCCAATGAACCCCGACAAACTCGCACTCGTCCCCCTCCTCCACGGACGCTATTTTTGTTTTTCGCCACGATGGGATAATTATTTTTCAGACTACTTCAAGGAGTTTCGTTGAGGTTTTTTTTTTTCTTTGCAACCTCCACATGGAAACAGACTCTTCTTTAAACAGACATCAGGAAGTTGCGAACAAGCAGACTAGTAGTAACCCTAACGCCCACGAAACACGTACAACTTCATCTAAAATATATCTATATACACACACACGTATCGCTGGAACTATGAAGTCCCAACAAAGGGAGCTACACGTCGTGAGGCCGTTTTCGGATCAGACACACGTATGTCTATATATCATCTTTTTTGTCCCCTTCGGAATTAAAAAGCCTCGCCCGGACCCACCACGACACACGAGCAGAGGATCGAAGGAAACGGAAAACACCTTCGCCGGCAGTGCAAGCCACAGACCGGAATGATTTAAAAAAAAAAAAACAACAACAAGCAATTAGAGCCGAAAGATGAGACCGGCGAGCGGATTATACCGACGCTCACTCCTAATGGCTGCCGCCTCGCCTCACTTTCCCCGGCGCACACACGGGCCACCCCGGAGCCAGGGAAGAGGCGGGAGGAAAAGCGGGGACTCGGACTTACAAAGGGCAGGCTGCTCATTGAAATCCCGTGACAACCCCCGGAGAAAAGTGGACGTTTTACTGCCGTGACCGTTGGCTGCTGCTGCCGCCGCTGTTGTTGTCGTCGTCGTCTGCTCCGAGCGCCGCGAGCGACCCAGCCAGCCTGCCTGCTTCCCTCCCTCTCGCGCTCGCTCGTTCCCTCCCCCCCGCCTGGCGGGGAGGGGCTGCGCTCCACGTCACCCGCCGCGCCGGTGACGTACTACACACGTTAAAGCGACGGGGCGGCGCCGGCGGCCTGGGTGGCCCCAGCGCGAGGCGGGACCTCGCGTCCAAAGAAGGAAGGAAAGAAAGAAAACGAAAACAAACAAACAAACAAACAAACAAACAAACAAACAAACAAACAAAAGCGACGTAGAACATCAACCATAAAAATCACAACCACGCGGGGGGAAAAAAAGGGGCGTGTCACCTTACTGCAGCACGCTCGGTGTTGGAAAAGAAAAAATAATTGCTGCGCTTTTAAAACTCCCGCCCTTAAAACTCGCTTGGATACAGAGGCTTTAAATCAGGTTTATTGCAGTTTGCAGTTTATTGCAGGCAGCTGTCTCTGTCGGTCTCCCTGTTGCCTTGTTTTATCGTGAAGCGCCTTCAGCTGATGAGTCATGGGTGTGTCAGAATGAACGACAGAGACCGCTTACATTTCTTCTTCATCAGGTGACTGAGGACAATAGCACCGATGTGTCACTCTGTGCAAGTGCACCGCGCACCCTATTTTCACTTACCTGTGCAAATTACACTGCGCTAATAATGCAGTGTATATATGGTAAAACGTTTGCATCAAGATCAATAAACTAGTTATTATAATTAGGTTGTCCCTCATGTGAAATAAAGCTGATGGTTTGAAATAATGGAGTTTTACTCGGCTTCGAGTGAAAGTAAAAGAGTTTGGATTCATTTCAATGGAAACTTTGTGTATTCCCACAATAACATCAAAATAAGCCCCCTTATTGTTTTAAGTTCCCAACAAGAATGCACACAGTATTTATTTGGAACCCTTTCCAATCTTTTTAGATGAGAATGAGAAAGGAAAACAATTATTTTAATCTAATTTGTTGAAAGCCTCTTGGTAATGGTTTGGCCAGGCTCTGTTTGATTTCGTATGTTAGGTTTTGGTGATATCTGGTGATATTATTTGCAATGCTGAAATGCAAGCATGGATCTTAACAAGTAGATATTAAGACATTGTAGACATGTCAGCTACTCCAGACAACATGTCTCTGGTTTGTGGGGGGAAATGGGAGAAGCCAGAGAAAACTCACATGGCCCTGGGGGGGTGGGGGGTGGGAGCTAGATGTTCTCCTAGGAAGAACATGCAAACTCCACCCATCTCGACTTCAACCCAGGACTGAGGGGCTGTGAGGCGCCAGGGCTATTTGCCCACTACACAACATCTTTTCTAGGACACTCTTGTGTCCCAAGAGCTTATGATACTGCCACCCACTGGGGGAAAATAAGTTATTACAAGTGAAAAAAATGAAACCCACTGTTCTGGATCCAATACAATAAACCTTTCACAGGACATCACTTGCAAGGCACATCTGTGTTGGAATCTTGTTCGTCCAAAAAATCATTGCATCATTTCTCATGACAAATACACCCCGTGTACGGGAGCCGATCGTTGGGAAATACTGTGCATGACTCTGAAGTGATACACTTGTACAGTATGTATACACTTGTACCCAGAGCTCAAACAGTCCTGTGCAGCGTGATTTAACCGCAGTCGGTTTTCATGAGTATTGTAGTCTTCTACAATGTGCACTGAAATTCAAATAAGATGGATATACAGTAAAATCCCATTCTTTTTTCGCATGCCTCAGTCAGTCATTTTTTTAAAGATATGATTTAGTCCCTGCATGCAAATTCTGCATGATTCAAACATGTCCTGCAGAATGCCTCTAGAATCTTTTATATTCTGGGGGTAAAATCTCTATCATATCCCAAAAGGCTTCTTCGGGATTCCATTATTTTTCCTGAAAAAGTCCTGCAGGATGTTCCCTGTGGGATATTTTCAGAGATCTACAAATATTTTGGCACTCTCCTGTAGGATCATATGTTTATTTATCATTTCTAGGTTTGAAGGCAGTCTGGAAGGATATTTTATGTGAGGGGAACATTTGGTGATTCAATCATTTTTTCCAGGCAAAACCAGTGAGTTAAGTCTCTTAAATTGTACTATTGCAATTCTGACTAGTTACCCTATTATAATACTACACCACACTAATGAAAATAATAATAGAAGTAATAAGAAGACAAAACACATATACAAGATACTCTTTATTGATGTGGTATCAATACAATCAAGTACTGTAGTTTTAGTTTCAAAAGAAAAAAATCTTTTAAAATCACAAGAAAAACAGGAGTGCATTTTATACCCACTTCCTATTACAGACAGTGCATGTAATAGACAATTTCAAAGAAAAAACAAATATCCTATAGTTTGCTACATAGTACATTAGACAGAAAACAGAACTTACATAAAAGCAATCCTTCAAAATCAGCACCAAGGTGCACTGATTACTCATTTGAAAAATGTAGAGGCAGTCACATATCCTTTTAGCAAATACAGACTTTTTGATTTAGATATCCAGTTGTAGAATTGTTGTCATTATACAAGAAGAAACATAGTTTTACAATGTCTTGTTTTGTGCAAATGGTAATGCAATGGGCCAATTTTCTAATCCAAAAGAAAAAAATACAATATCCCTTAGGAATCTAAATAAGGCACTTTTTCTTAGCTGTATTTTCTAAAGTAGTCTTTCATTATATGAGCACTAAATACCTGCTTAAATTTGCTTTGTAACATTTACATACTTCCAGAGGGGGAAGTGACAAAAACACACAATACCATGCATCCTTCTTCATGACACCTGCTAAGAAATGGGTATGAGTAAGTTGTACAGCATGTCATTCTTGGAGTACACAAAATAAAGGAAAAACAAAAATAAAAATAAAAACCAGCATAAATAACAAGAACATGCCTTGCATTGTCTAGGAATGTCACAATAATGATCATTTACAAGCCTTTTTCGTTAACTGCAAAGTATACAACAGTGCGAGGGAGTGCAATTCGGAAATACTGGAAGGGAAATACTGTCGGACAAGCATGTATTTCTTTTAAATCAAGCTAACAGGCTTTAGAAGTTAAAGTAAATACAAAAAGAGTTAGAGCCGTATTTTTGGAACACGTATAGAGCTGAGTCTTGTGACTCGGCCACCACGGATTAGTTTTGACAGTATTATACACTTGCTTGACTCCGATCCATTAGAATGCACGCCCCGTTAGTTTAGATTGGTCGCGTTCCTTAAAAAAAAGAGTTTTTGTGAAGTTTTCCCGATGTTTGGAGGGCTGTACTTTTTTTTTTAAATCATAAGGCTCGCTTCACTGTTCAAAATCCACTTTACCGCTCACGGATTGTCCTTATAAGAACGTGGGAATCTGTTTGTTTCTTCCCCCACCACCTACAATCTATTGACTATAAACGCTTGGAAACCAGAGTCTACAGATGAAAAGATGGGGTGTAACTGAATCATTTTGGGAAGCACTCCCGTCAGTCCCGAAGCAATGCAGAGGGCTGTTGTTCTTCTCTCCAAGCTTCCTCTCACATTCTTCACTTTCATGTAAAAAGATGGTCGCGACCATCACATTGTCCCCTGTCATAATCAGCAAAAGAATACATTTGCAAGGAAGAAGGAAAACTCAACAGACATTCGCTAAAAACGTTCTATAGTACGGGGAAGTGTATTTAATAGCCTAGTTTCCATCTTACATCTCAATGGCACTAGATATGAAGTCAGAGGGATGGCGGACGAGAGGGGCCTGCGGTTCAAACAGCCTATTTAGTTTTCAGTAGCTAACTGATCCGAGACCCTCGAGCAGCTCTTTCTTGAGAGGATCTTGGCTTCGAACACATGACTAGACATCTCACAACCCAGATATTCCTCAATGCACTGTAAACTACGCTGTAGCAAAGGGTCCTTAAATTAAGTATAGGCAATCCATTTAAGCGTTATTCACCAGCAACCTAAAAGGCGTCGACGTAGAGATTTTTCACTTTTTTTAAGCGATTACCATCTCTTTAATGGACCACAAATAAACGAAAATAAAGCTCGAAACCTAATACTGGAGTTCCCGGCAACACTGGACATGACAACGAAAGGATAAAAGCGATGGCGTTCCCCCTTGAAAAGTGCAGAAAACCTGCCTGATCTAGCTTCACCTTCCTCTAAAAAAAACCAAACTACTTTACCTCAGCTGCCGAAGCGCGTGTGCTGACGTCACAGGGTTCCCGCGGGAGCAGAGCCGCGGAAATGACGTCACCCCCTCCGGAGACTCGCCCACGCGGAGGCTCGGTCCTGCGGTGTGAAGTCATTGCCCGCTGCTCAGAGAGGGGAGCAAGCGCGCTCCGATCCCAGCGGGAGCCGGGGTTGCTTCACGCACGACACAGACTGCTGTCGGCCCTCTCATCGAGACTTCGCTTTTCTACCGGCCGCCATGACACGAGCCAAGCGCGAGGATTTCGGTAACGTGCCGCGAAGCTGCAGGGGGACAGCACCGGAGTGTGCATTGTGCCTGGACAGCACGCCTGGGAACAATCTAACTGCAGTTCACTTTATCCCATCACCCCATGGCAATGCCCACCTGCAGCGGTTTTACATTCGGTCATCATTGCGTGCGTGTGCATGTTTCTGTGATCCAGTTCCAAGTGATCCAAGGATAATTAAGGCACACGCCGTCATCCCTCTCTCAGGCCACTCTCGGTCTCGATCGGGGTCATTTCGCTGTTGCACAATCTTGACCTCCGGCCTCTGCGTCCAGGACAGAGCCTGCAATCTCTTCGAGCCCTGTTGTCCCCCCCTTCGCCACTGAAGACACTACCAAGAGTACACTGGAGCTACAGCCATTGGGTTCTCCTGACACCTTCCAGCCAAGACAAGACTTTAGACTTCAAGGGAAAGAGGAGGAAGCCAAACATTGACTCAGAAGCCCTATCTTATCATCGCCCCCACATGAAAACATCTACACAAGCCAAACACTCAGGGCCATGTGGGTATTAGTCTGGACATGGTTTTAACGACCTAGTAGAAAACGTAGCACATATCAGTTTGCAAATTGAGACAAAAAATGCTAACTGTATTGACTCTTAACTCTCATGCCTTTGAAAATTGTAGGATGGTATTCTGTCTCTGCCAAAACAAAAAGGAGTTTGGAATGATAAAAAGCTTATGTATTAACAATGTAATAGACCTGTGGACATCAGGATCATTCATGGCACTTTTGCTCTGCACTCAATGGCTGTTAAAAAAAAACAGAAGGAGGATGTTGCCCTAGATTTGCCAATGATATTTTAAATCTGATTGAATTGCTCACAAGTTTTCTCAACCTGCATTTTATTACAGACACATTGTCAGTGCTAGGTCTGTGCAGTCCCCCTGCTCTGAAAAGAACATGTAACTGTGCTGAGAGGACAGTTCATTCACATGTAGTGAATCTTCAAAATGTACCAATAGGCATTATAAACACAGCACTGACGAACAAGGCAGTATGTACTAGCACTTTGAACAGGATACACTCAATTCTTCTAACTGCAAAATGCTGCTGCTTGTTGAAACATCATGAACAGACTGTCCAATGTCCTCTGGATGAGACGTTAAGCCCTAAAATATCCATCCGCTCGTTCCAGGTGAAGGTTGCAACAACCCTGAGTTTATTCCAAAGGGTATTCCAGCTCAAAGTTGAACTACACAGTCAATGGGACACCAGTCGATGGCAGGGCGCATGCAGGGGCAATTTAGAAATGGCAATTAACATAGCCAGCATGTCTTGAGATGTCTGAAGAAATCAGCAGATCCCAGGGTCACAGAGCTGTCAGGCAGCAATGGTGCATTATTATTACAAATTATATTATTACAAAGCCTCCTATAGTGAATTTTGAAAAATGATCTAGCTCCTCATTTAGTGTTATTGCTCAATATAGCACCTCAGGTGAGTCTGTAAATTTGTGATGGGTTTGCTGAGGTGCTGTTAAAATGATTAGCATTGTCTGCACAACACGGGTCTTCCACAGATCGTGGTGAGTACACTGGTAATATCTTTAGAATCTCGTCCTTGAAGAGCAAGAACAAGATCTGTCTTTTCACAGTTACAAAACTGTGAAAGTTAATGAAAATACTTCACCATTTTGTATTTTCAGGCCAAGGTACATGTACTGAACACCTTAGTGCTCCTAAAGAATCTGTCAAAAATCTGTTCAGATTTTTTTTTTTTTAGATATTTCAGATTGGTTTTGGAACATTTGTTTTCTTGTACTCAGTTCTTAAATGATACATTTGCACTTCTGCATAACACAGTCATATCTACATTCTGTCTCTTTCTGATTTAGAATTATGAATGATTACGGCAAAGAACAGAAATCAATAATAACTATTTGCATTTATATGTGGTGATGCCTTCAAGAGAATGCATCATCTTCAGTTCAATTCTTTTGTGCTTCTCCTAGATTTGCATGCACATCTGCTCGTATAATAAATGATAACATGCCCAGCAGGCCTATTCATATAGCAATGTTCCTTGATCATGTTCTGAGAATTAATAGCAAACAGATTATATGTCATGGGACACCTAACATTAAGTCGTACTAACAACAGGCCTGTAGCCTGTCGTTAGTCTCCTTCCTTGGTAAATGTCATTATAAATGAATACTTGATAGAGTGTGGAAGTGTAACACTGTGAGAAATAGAATTGGAAATTACTCTGCAATAAAATTGCAAAATCATCAATCATTAGTCCATTATGGCTGCCTTCTCCGCCCTGGAATAACAATTTATGTGACACCTGGCAAAACTGCTAATTGTACTACATTAGTGTGGCACCGATGGCTTTAAATTGTTACCCCTGAAAACGGTTTTGAATGCGTGCATTTACGGTCATGTCCCAGCGATGGTGGCACAGGCTTGTTCGGGGGACACAGGACGTGCATGCATCAAAACCCAAAACAGAAAACTTGTAAGGTCCAGCACCGACGCGGAAACTCATCGATCTCTTTAGGACAGAATCCAGCAATACCACTAACACCAGAAGCTAATCTTACAATCTGTCCCTTCTTTGCATGAATGTCTACTGTCAAAATTTATTGTCCATGTCTGTTTGTCATTTGTGCCTTTTTTTCTTTGTCTCTTTCTCTAATGTTTCTGGGTCCAGCTGAACGAGTAAGCATTCCAATACGCTTGTGTCTTACCGACACTAGAATGGGGTGACGTCACATATGCTTTACAATTAAGGTGCATCAAATGTTTCCATGAACAGGGGTAGGCAGTCAGGTCGGGGAAGAAATCAGGAATCAGACTTAGATCTTCTTCCTTTCAGGATGTATCTGGTGCCTTTGGCCTGTGTGCACAATTGTGGGGTTGTTGTGCTATTAGCACACTAGAATTTGAAAGCATCTCCCTTGTCCTAACATTCGGAGAGGGTACGGCTCCCTGCACCTGTTTCACTTTTGGGTGGCAAATGGGTTGGATTGCTCCCGACTGAGAAAGAAAAAAAATGGAATCAGAAAACCATGTAAGCTCCCCAGTCAGAACTCCCCTATCCCCATCCCACACGTGCTTGCGCGATCCAGACACCGAATTAACCCCCGCTAACCTTTGGAGAAGGGTCGGGCCGGGGTGGAGGAGGCTAAAATTCCATTTAAATGGGAAAATTTACCTTTGGAGTTTTCTTTCTACAGTGAGCAGGAGTACACAGAGAGAGTTAAAAGAACCGCAAAGAGCGATCTGGACAGCTGGTGCTGCTGGAGTGGTTGCAGGAGTGTGGCTAGGTGTCTGGGCAGGACCAGGGGCAGGG